TATATATATATATATATATAGGCTTAGGTAAATAAGATTATGTCTAGTTGTATGCACAGAAAATTGTTTCTCTTAAAATATTGTAATCCTGGATAACCCACTTTACGTCTAAATTTAATTTCAAATTTTAAATTTCCGCCCACTTTTCCATCGAGTCACACATCAATTACCTCCCTTTAAACAGTCGATCGTATTTCACGAACTGCGTCCAGCGTTCAAATTTTAAATTTTAAGCGTACTTCAATTACCCTATTTTCCTCTTTTTTTCTATTATTGACTTATACATACTGATCATTCCCTGCACTTAAATTCTGGTATTGCTTTAATTTAATTGATTTTATTGATCATTCCCTGCACTTAAATTCCGATATATATATATATATATATATATATATATATATATATATATATAAGTGAACATTGAAGTCAACACTCAGAGGCAACAGGCTATTTTACGCTAGACACCATCGTCAGGCCGCGTGTTTGTTGCCTCTGCGTGTTGACTTCAATGTTCACTTTATATTTATTTACATACGCTCTATCTCTTATATTGAGCATTTTATCCCATAATTATAGCATACCATATATATATAAATATATATATATATATATATATATATATATATATATATATATATATATATGTATGTATGTGTGGAAAAGCACATTTCTCGTTGTTACTTCTACGAATCTATATCTAATAATTTTAATTGTTCAAAGGATATTTTTTCATCCGATATTATTTCTTCTTATTATAAATGTTGTTTTTAGGGGGTACATGTGTTTAAGTTGATATCCTGTTGTTTTTTTTCTTAAACAATGAAATTAATAGCAACCGGCTTAAATTGAGAAAACTTACTAAACAAAATAATTGTGCCTTTGACAGGAATCGAAACTGCATCCTTTTTTCCACATTTTTTTTTTTTTAGCCAAAGTGTACCGCTATCAGTTTGACCACAGAGACCAGTTTGACAGAGCAAGCTTCGTACACACTAGTTTCTGGTACCATAATTACTGCAATACTGACAACAAATATAGTAACTTATTTTATTAGCAACGTAACGATTATTGGTGCAGAAAAGAGAATCGGTGAACTGAGTTCTTATTCCGTTACATTCACTTCGTACTAATTTACACTGGAGAAAGGAAGAAGTTTGTATCTCGTTTCAACGAGTAAAGGGTTAGAAAAACAACACGAAGTGGGCTCTATCGCTTTGGATGGTTGTCAGTCTAAGAGGCTGAAAACCCTGTATTCAAAACACCAATTAGGCGTACTGATGCAAATTGCGGAGTGGTGGCTCTGTCACTATCAGCCTTTAACTTCTCCTGATGGATAACTTTCTATCATAAGAAGATAAGAGCTATGATAACAAGCCTAAGAGAAAGAAAACTCTCAATTCAAAAACCAATTAGGTGTATTGATGTCAATTGCGGAGTGGTTCTCTATCAGACTTGATATCCTCAGGATGGATGACTTTATCTTCAAAGACGCTTATAGCTCTCGTTAAAACGGCTATGTCGAACGTTTTGCTTCCTTTCACTTTATTAGCAACAAATAAAACGTAAAAGTTAATTTCAGTTTGTAATTATGTTTATGGCAAAATATTATTTAAAAGAACGTGTACTGGTAGATTTAAAATATTATCTGCAAAAAGGGCATCTTTTAAAAAGGAAAGAATAGATTTTAATTCTATGTAGAAGATGATAGCAAAAACAACATGGCACGTAAGGAAACAATTATCGTCGTATGGTTAATCCTAAAGAATTGATGGATTTAGTTTTAATCCGATATTTTTATTACTTCAAACTTAGTGGATACTTTTATTTGACAGACGCCACATCTTTATTTCAAACAGCGTCCATAATGTCTGCGCATTCGAGAAATCTTAAAGTAAATGTGCTCTGCGATAGGGATCGAACCGCGTCTTCCTTTGTAGGAAGAAACCACCGTTTGATCAGGTGTGCTTTACCGTTCGGCTACAGAAGGGCTTTATTTTCATATCACTAAATTAAATGACGTCACTGACTACATTACGCGTGATTGTTGACTGCAGTATCTGCATGTTTAATTTAGTTTGTCGATATTACCGAGGTAAAATTTAGAATTATGCATACTGATTTCCAAATCAAGTAGGTACTCTATCTTGACGCAACAGAATCTTTTAATTTATTCCTTTCATTTTTTTTAAGCTAATATTTAATATGTAAAAAAAACAGATTGATTTTGGTGAAAACGATTCCGACACATCTCACAAAATTTTTACTGAATCTCATAATAAAATAAATGTTATTATTGGAGTAACATATAACAGTCGAGTAATCTTTTCTTTGTTTCTAAACTGAAATATCTCATTAAAAATACATTTTTATTGTTTTGTATTTTTTTAATTTAAAGCTGTAATTTAAATTTTAAGTTATCGAATTTTACTTCTTATAATACCAAACCATCTTTAATGAGAATCCAGTTTTCTATAAAATAGTAACCTACCGGTCGCTATAAAGATTTCTTTTCTCTTTTCATCGTTGTCTCTAAATAAAATTTAAGATTTGTTGTTGAAAAACCTGTTTTATTCAAATTGGTTCAATGTCGAATAGAGAATTTACCAAGCGCTCATACACACATGTATTAATTAATTCTTTATTTGACTCATCTAGTTTTCTTGTATATTTCTGTGAGCGACAATAACATCATTATGAAATTCTGCTTATTGGATGATAATGCATGACCAATCACTTTAACACTAGAAGACATTTGATTCTACAGTCTTATTTGGTGTCTACTTTTTACTACGTGAAAACTATGCATTTTTATAAACCATTAGACATTAGTTTCTGTTAAATATTAAAGTATTGTAATAAATCATTCTAAATACTAAAACATTCTAAATACTAAAGCATTCTCAATACTAAAGCATTCTCAAGAATGAAACTCAGTAAAATACCCGTTAATTGTTATTGGACTGAATACATCTTCCTTAATAATTAACACTTTTTATGATTTCAGATATTGTTTTAGTTCTCAAAACTGGTTGGCCATTTTATATTGAATTGCAATGAACTTCCATACAGAGAATTAGTTTCTGACAAGGAAAGTTTTATATCCCTTTAAATCGATTTGTTTCACCCAATCAGTAAAGCTTTTTTTTTTTCTGAAACGGTTTCAAAGACTAGGGGCACATACTGCTACTTCTTTAAACGTGCACTTTTCAACCGTAAGGCAGGCAATTTATTAATATCGATTTTTTTCAGGGCGGTGTGAAAAGAGCATAGGAGATCGAAACCAAAGTTTGGGTGGAAATTAACAGTTTTATGAAGAAATCATGTTTTAATGAAGCGTGAGAACATTTTCAGGAACTTCTTTTCACTCCATCGACTCGCTCTATGGCTGCCTCTTTGTGAATCCAGCATGATTACTCATCGTTCACATCAAGGTCGAGTGTAGTCAAGTACTTCTTAACCATCTGTAGTTTTTAATCGGCCGTTCATTTTTTTCTCTCAATAAATAAAAATTATTGCAATCAACGTCTGTTCGTGAAATTGGGGTTAGCCTATTTGAAGGGCAAATCTACTAACAGATTAGATGCCTATTTCATTAGAATAGATAGAAAAATATACTTACCGTTTAGTCGAGAGAATTTGTTAACTTAAGGAGAGATTAACAAAAGGTAAGAGAGTTGAATAATATGTGAGAAATAGAATATCGAAATTGAAGGAGAAAATATAGAAGTAGGGTTGGGAATGTGTTGAAGATTGATAAAAAGTGAGATGAAGAAAAAAAAAAAGGTCAATGCGAAATGCAGTTAGGCGAATGAAAAATAATGAATGAAACTCGGAAACGAAATTGAATGATTTTCGAAGAAGAACTTAGAAATGAAAATAAAAGTACTTACGCAAAAAAGAAATATCCGGAAAACAGAAACATTAGACAAATTATGAAAAATAGAGAAAGAAGAAAAAAAAGGAAGAAGAAAAAAAGTGGGTGAAGAATAAAAGGGACGAAAATCAATAAGGAAAGAGAAATGGAAGTAAAGAAAGAAAAAATAATCGATGGAAAAGCGAGAGAAAAACACAGAAAGAAAGAAATATTAGAAAGTTAAAGAAACATAAAAACAAAAGCAGAAAAAATAAAAGAAAAAGAAAAGAAAAAAGAAGAAAAACAAAAGAAATATGACGCAAGAAGAGTATTTGGTTGATTTCGTTTTTAGCGCCATATCAACAGTTCTATGAATCATTTAAGCCGAAATCTAAATATTTGTATGCCTTCAACTACAGATAAAATGTATTGTTGGTCATTTTCCTATAAAATGTATTGTTAGTATATAATTCTACTATAAAATGTATTGTTGGCAATTCTCTTTATATAAAAATGTATTACTGTTATTTTTAATATAAAAAATGTATTTTATGCTTTCTTAGAGTTTCATTTTTGGGGGTCACTATTTTCCCATAGCTGGGACCCTAACAGGTGCTACCACCCTTGGTCAGGTAGATCTGGGAACAACAGGAATTCAAAGGTGGTTTCGTGCTCCCCAAAACCTCAAATCTCCAGATTGAAGGCCTTGCTGCCGAATGTAGCTTATCGTTATGACTGGCAAGAAAAGTAAAAATAAATAAATAAATAAAATAAATGAAGAAAAACCATCCGAAATTAAAAAGAAAGAAAGAAAGAAGGAAAGAAGTAAAACTTGTAAGAGAAGCAAAAAGGGAAGGAGACGTGAAGGAAAAAAAGAGGGAAAACGTAAATGAAGAAGAGAAAAACGTTGGTTATTTGTTTAGCGGCATATTAATCACTATAAGTTATTTCGCGCCGAAATCTAAATATTTTGTACGCAATTTTATATTATTTTTGTTTATAATAATGGTTTAGTGATACAAGTCTTAATAATTAACCCATAGCTGGAGGATAAGAGGCGGAGTATTTACGCGCGTAAGTGAATATAACGAAACTTGGCTCACAAAAGTTTCGAGCCATTATCCATTACACCACTTGCAAATCCAGGCTTACAGCACCTGGTATTTCCAAGCGGTCACCCATCTAGGTAGTGACCAGGGTCGACGTTGCTTAACCTCGGTGATCATACGGGAACAGGCGTTTCAACGTGATGTAGCCGTAAGCCAAGGAGAAAAAGGAAAAGAAAAATAACGGAGAGACGCAAACGGAATGATGGCATTGAAATGGTAGGAATGAAGAAAGAACAAAGAAATCAAATAGAAAAAAAAATGAAGAAATACAAAAAACAAAAACAAAACAGACCTCCGACTCACACACAAGGAATTTAATGATTATTTGTGTCTAATTAAAAAGGATTGAAGTTTCTTTTGAGTCGGTTCCCTCGTTTTTGGAGTCTTAGGTATGACGATAAACTACATCCAGCAGTAATTTCTCTGATCGGAAGATTGGAGGTTTTGAGGAACGTGGTAGAACCAGTTAGGGTCCCAGCTATAGGCAAATAGTAAACACTCAAACAAAAACAAAATATCTTTATACTAAAAATACAAGCAATACATTTTTATATAAATAAGGAATAACAATTTGTATTTATAGTAAAATGGTCAACAATACATTTTTAAAACAAAATAACTATCAATACGTTTTATCATAGAATTACCAGCAATACATTTTATAGTGAAATGACCAACAATACATTTTATAGTAAAATGACCAACAATACATAGATGAGAGAATACAACTGCGTTCAAGATACTTAATTGAAGCCATAAAATTGTCTTCAGATTATTTAGAATTCGGCATAAAATAACCCATAAAGGTTGTTATATCGTTAAACAAAACTAATCAACCAACCCTCATTTTTGTTATTTTTGTTATAATGTTTCAGTCGTTGTACTCTCTGGTCTTCAGCAAGAAAATTTGTCTAAGATATCAAGACCAAAATATAAGAAATCATAACGTGTATACGGTTCTGAGGAAATTCTGTAGAGAGGAATCGATATAACCATTTTTTTTCATTTATAATGTACATAATGGTAGCCGATAATTTTTTTCTCAATTGAGTCTGGCGAAACACTAGCAAGGCACAACGACTTAGAGGCTGTCAGCTTTCTTTTTGGATGAACACCCATTAAAATGTTTCGTGCAATAAAATAGCTGAATTGGAATTCATCTTAGAACAACAAGAAAAAGCTAGCGGAAATAGTCAGATAAAGTTGCCTTAATGTGATAGAAATGTAAAGATTTTATCAAAAGTAGGAACTGAAGAAGATATAGAGAAAGGTGGGAGGTGTACAGACAAATTCTGATTGGCTGAGAGATTAGGCTGCGCAGTGAAGGGAATCTCAAACCAAACTGCGCAATCTAGCGTGAGGTTGTCATGTTAATGGCAAAATTATCCGTGAATCTAGAGAAGACGGAACTGCGTTGAAAGAGATTGTAGTAAAGGGAAGGCAATACTTTATATCTTTCGGCGTCTTAGTGTATCGTAGTATGGTATATTAAAACATCAAGAGATTGGTTTACCAGTTTTCTTGATCAGAGAGCGTACAATAAATCATTTTCATGAACTGTCTATTTCTTGTTGAAGAACGTCGTAACAGGTATATATTGCAAACACACACACAATCAATCATACAATACATATATACCTACCTATATTTTTATGTTTATATTAAATACTCGTTTTTGTCTGTCTATCTAATTATATATCACAATATCTAATTTTTTGCTTATCAATTTCTTTATCATTTTTATTTCTCAATTGAAAATTAATTTTGAAGCTTCAAGGGTTAGTGTTCGGTTTCAAGTAAAGGTTTTCCTTTACAGTAGACAAACTCTTTAAATATTGGACACTGACAAAACAACTATTTAAGAATAAGAATATCTGAATGATTTCTACATTCGTATTTCTGTAAAATCTTCGATACCCCTTTGATATAAATAAGAGGGATGTCGAAAAATCATGGGCCTAATTTTCCTCCCCAAATCTCACCAAATGATTAGATATCAGATATTTGTTTTTTTTTTGTTTGTTTTCTTTAAACGGCTTCTTCGTCGAGCCGAGAATTTTTCTGCGTTTCCGTTATTATTCTTCTGTCTTCTACAGGTTAATCGGAGGGGAGGTCATAATAAAACAGACTTTAAAAAAAAATAAAAATAAAGAATATCAGATCAACATGCTATCAAAATTTTTAATTGAATTCTCACGAGAATGTTTTAGGAAATCCAGTGTCAGTTAAATTGAATCAAAAAAAGGGTTACCGATTAATACCTTCAAGATTTCGCCAATCAACCGTTAGATGTTATCTTATTGATGGGCAAATCGAAAAGGGCAGATTAAATCCGCTCATTCATGACGGCAACAAAGTATGGATGTGATAGTGGTGTAATGAATAGAGAATGGGAATAAGAACATTGGAGAGCAGAGTTCGAATTCCAGTTGAGTTTGTTACCTTCATTAAGCGCAACTATCCTTTGGAAAGATATTCCTCCATTTCCTTCAGCTATAGCATTTGTATCTGGAAAAATCATTGTTATTCCTTCAAAATTTTCAGGTGAATTTTTCTGGCCAAGACCGAATTCATTTTTTTAAGATAAAATCTTTTTGTTAATTATTCGTTTAATTCAATCTTGGCTTGTAATTATTCTTTTAATTAATTATCCCATTTAATAGATTCAATGCTTGCTTGAATTATTCTTTTAGTTCGACTCTTGCTTAAAATTATTCCTTTAATTTGACCTTTGTTACTTGTAGTGACGTGGGCCCAAACTTAACCCCCCCCCCTCGATGTTTGATCTATTCGGCCACGGTCGCCATTTGTAGTTCTGTCATGGTGCATGCGCGGGACAAAGACTTTTAAAACTATCGGTAATTTGCATGCGCGAGCATGTAATTGATATAAACGGTTTTCCGGAAGCAGTTTTGAATATGATCGTTGAACAGTGTAGTTCGAAGTGTGTTAGATTTATTGAGATTGGACGTATGAGTCTTAATTGCGACATTTCTTCTGCCTCCCACCAAATATTTACAGTGTTTGGACTATCAAATATTTTATCTTGCTTTGAACTGGAGATACTACTTCAAATTATCTACACTACTATTATTCCCTTATTTCGACGTTTGCTGAAATTAGTCTTTTAATACTACACGTGTTTAAAATTATTCCTTTAATTCAATATTTGCTTAGAATTTTTCCACTCTCAATTCCACTCGTGCTTAGACTCATTCCATTAATTTGACGTTTGCTAAGAAATATTCTTTAGCAATTTTATCGTTGTAGATTCTTTAGAATCTTATCTGCTCTCGGAATTTTGACAATTTTTCGAATAGAGCAAATTCATTTATGCAATTGCTGAACAAATTCTTAAAACGTCAAGACATGAGAATTTTAATGGCAATGTCCTTGCAGGTTTTATTAGTATTTAAATACAGAACCTGTTGGGAATCATAATATAAACAAACAGTAATAGAAAGTGTGAGTATCCCCAAATAAAAAGTTTGTAACTCCGAGAAATTCATATGTACTAAATTGTTGAAGGTGCAATGGATGTGTCGGGTATTTGAGATAGCTGCCGATTTCCCGTCAAGGTTGAAGATTTTCATCACTAGCAGATTTTTCCCACTTAGAAAATTGTTGTAACACTATCTTCCTTCTTCATTTTCCCCATTTAAGTTTGTGCCATTCAAATCAGTTAAGTAAACATCAAAGTAAGGAGCGTCTGAGGAAAAATACGGAAAATCGAATTAGCGAAGCGAGTTTCAATTCCTTGTAGCAACTGTTTCTTTTTCTGTGCATTTCGTGCTAATTTGGAAAAATCACTAATCAATCTTTCTGCGCAATGTTCTATTGACAAGATATTTGAAATGGTTCTTGAAATGTAAAGATGGTCGATGGAGGAGAGAATTTAATTCAATCAGGGGTTTCCCCTTGTTACGGATAGAACGTTAAATCAGTATAACATGCTATTTGAAGAGGTGATGGGATGGAACTGGCTCCCTGAGTTGCTACAAATAGCAAAGACCTAATTCTCTAACTCCTGCTTACTGGACTAACTAAGAAAGGTATCAGCAGATGCGTGTTCCTGTTTGATGTGAGGAAATGGACTGATGATGTATTACTCTATGTCGCCATTTCCTCTCAGCAGGTGAGTTGTCATGCCTTTCTACAATTTCCTATCCTTTTAACTCTAATATTTGAATTTTTACGCTTTCTTCCATTCCTTATTCTGCCAGCCATTTAAACACGCTCATTAGCAAGATTATTGACTATGTCACATTGAAACACAGATTCCCGTACTATCACCGAAGTTAAGCAACGTTGTATAGCCTGTTTTTACGAGTTCAGTCTCTATTTCCGCCCTCTTTTTATTCTTTCCTTTTTTTAAAATCTTTTTTTTAATGTTATTCGTTTTTTTTTTTGTTTTTCTTCTTTCCTACTTTTTCAATTCTATCATTCCGTTTTCTTCTATCTTTTTTCTTTTTTCTCTTGGCTTACAACCTCATCATGTTGTGTCCTGAGTATGATGATAAACTGCATCTGGCAGCAAGGCCTCTGATTGGGAGGTTTTGAGGAGTGTGGAAACACCTCTTAATTGCTGTTGTTCCCATATCCACCCTGACCCTGGATAGTAGCACCCGTTAGAGTCCCAGCTGTGGATAAATAGTTTTCCCCTCCCGCAAACTAGATGGATTTTTATAATAAAAATACCAGCAATACAAATTGCAGTATATAAAATGCACCTTCAAAAAAAAACGATTCCCCAAAACTACAATTTCCTCTCAATGGGGCCCACCCATTTGCCGTGGGTAGTGACCTGTGATGTCTAGGAACTAAGTCCTGGTGACTGAGTGACTCCTGATCTGGTATAAAATGACAAGGAGTGTCCACAACCCATCACTTCGGTCCCTACCCGAGATAGACTGGCGGATGCAATAGCCCAATCCATTCCAATCGGCTAGTTACATAGTGGCAACGGCTAGTTGGGATGCTAGATAATGGTACCGACATGGCTGCGAATCCTTACACTCTACTATATTTGGGTAGATATGGTGTCTGGGGGGATGCGAGTTCTCCTATCCACTTTCATCACAACTATACCGTCTGCGTAGCCCTGACGGATCAGGGCAAATGGGATTAGTCCCCCTTATCGCTTTCCTTAAGA